AGGATGCAGATGCAAGGTTGATGAGGTGGGGTAGGTGAAGTTTTATTACAAAAAATTAAAATAACCCCAGGCAGCAGACGCTAGCTCAGATCCTCCTCTGGAGTGTGTTTGGGTCATGGAGAGATCTGGCATGCTGCTCCATTCTGAGCTGGAAAAGGGTCTGTGCTTTGGCCACTGGTTATCAGGTTGATTTCTCCTTGTTTTTGTGAGCAAGGACTGGGAAGAGCGGGTGGGGAGAGGGTGTCAGCGGGGTTAGTGTCAGTGACAGACGCTGCTATACATACCACCCAGATGCAAGTCGATGAGGTCACTGTAATAAGACTCTCCCCAATAGTCTACAACAAGGAATTGGTGAAGAGAGAGTTATTCATCAGATAACCCTCCTGTCCCCACACCCAAAGCATGAAGCATAGGAAACACAGAGGTACAGAAGCAGGCGAGGAGGAACAGGTGGAGAGCATGCGTCTCTGTAAGTGCACTGTATTCCGCATGCACGCACATGCTACCTCTGCACACCTTGTGATGGGGGAGGGGGAAAGTCACTAAAAACCACCGGTGATGGAGTTAATAGCCATTATCAATATGATTCCTGTTTACACCTCGGATCAGCTGTTGGAAACTCCAACCCGGCTGGGACTCAACGTTATCTAACTAAGATTTAAGAATGTTCAAGGGCAGATCAGTGCAACTTACTTCCTTAGTTTTGAAATATTAGAAGCCCCAGACTGAGGGGCTAGAGGCAAGACGTGAACATCCTACAAAAGCTCTGCGAGGATGCCAGTCCTTAGGTTTAAGTGCAGTGGGGGCTCTCCCAAGAATTCACAGGTGACCCTATCGGTGAAAATATCAAACTCCTTGCAGAATCACTTTTGCTGAATGGGTCTGAGACGAAGGAGATCCTGTTTCCTCTGAGGTTTAGGCCCCCAACTTCAGTCAGGCTTCTCTTTAAAAGTGGGAGAAGAGTTGTGGCTTACGCAGAGTTCCTCCCCTGACCACTTGCCTGAAGGCTCGTGGAGGTCTGTTGGCCACAGGCACCCCTAGCCTGGTAGCTTTCCGGCTGCCCAGCCCAGGGTGTTAGGTTCTCCCCATGCCTGAGATGCAAAGACCGGGCACTGCGAGGGGCTGGCTTGAGCGGGCGGTCCTCATCTCCCCGGAACCGTAAAGAGATGCAGAGCACAGCACCATTCAGCTGCTACTGTGTTACCCTTCCTCCAAACCTCATACTCTGAAGGCCGATCCTGGCAGCCCTTTGTTCTACCTGAAGGTCTCCTCTTTAAAAACAAACACATTAGACAGCAGAATGCAATCCTGCAATGCCTTTTCAACTCATGCTCAAGGCTGATCCAGTGGTTTTATGTTTGAATCAGGATCCTGGGGAAAAAAAAGCTTCCCAGGTACCCCAGGACCAGAAATCACATAAGTCTTGGTCTTGCCCTAGGCTCAAAGGCTCGGAAGCTAATCCTCGTGGCCTGGATACACATAAACCTTAGACAAACTGAGACGAATGGGACAGCAGGTCTGCATCAGATCTCTTCTCTGGAAGGGAAGCTTGGCTAACAAATTCTGACGCCCTCAGACAGCGACGGAAGCTTGAGACCGTCAAGTGAGACAGAATGGCAGGCTCTGGCTGGCTCAGTACCACCCGCAGGGAAGGGGTTCCACTGTTGGAAGACTCCAGATTATCATGCTCAGCTGAGGCTGCCTTCAGGGCTCAGCCAGGTGCAAGGAGACAACGGAGCGGAATGGATCGCAGAAGCAGGAGAGAAAGGGGCGGCCAGTGTGCACACGTGAGCTCCAAAGACGGCATCTGCCAAGCAGGAGCAGGGCCACGGGGAATTCTGACAGTGGACCAGCCTTGGAAGTAACGTATTCACGTAAGAGGAGGAAAATAATATATTTGAAAGTATATTCTTATGGTAGGAGTCACTATATCCTCAGAATCTCTCAAACGCATCCTGGGGAACTATCCCTACAGAGCTTCCAGGGCCCATCTTTCAATACAGAGCAGGCACATCTTCGGATCGAGATGTTTTGGTGAAGACTCACCTAAAGGAAAGAACTTCTGTGGAACCCTAGGGTTCTTCAAAAGGCATCCCAGGGGTCTCCCAAATACCTGATTTACAAATACTTTTAACTCTTTTAAAAGACTTAAATAAGACAAATCACCTTAAATGTTTTACACGCCAACTTTTAACCCACTGAGGACTGTCAACACATTAATTTGTGCTGCCAGGTAAACTCACTTTTGGGGGGCCCTCAGGACCAAGTTCTCCTGCTCTCCGTGGGCAAGTATTTGAACTCCCTATAAATGCATTAGCGAAGAGGCAGTTGTACTTCCTTGTGTTCTGGCCTGCAACCGCACTGCGCGTGTGCGCGTGTGCCCGTGTGCGGGGGGCACTGGCGGAGCTCAGTGAGAGGCCCACCCGCAGCGTGCTCCTGTCAGCGAGGTCCTCTAGGTGGGTAACACATTATGTGACAATATCATACATAGCACAGGTGGGTTTTTCTGCTTATATTTGGGAACTTCCTGTGTGAAGACTTGTTCTTTATAAGGGATATGAAGTGCTGTTAGATTTCTTATGATTCAACTGTGAAAAAAAAATGCTATTGCTCCATTTTTAAGTTTTTAGCATCTATATCATTTAAACTGCAGACATCCTGAGATTTGTAACTGAGCTATTAAAAAAACTCTGTTACCATTGGTTGAACTACAGTCCAGTGGTGTGTAAGTGTGTACTCCACAACATACCCCAACTGGATGCTGAGGCTCTCTCCTGTCATCCGTTTTCAAATTTGTGTTTATTAACATTTTGGAGTAATTCTTTTTGATTTTAAACTTGAACTTATAATCTTATAAAAAATTCTGCTGCTAAAAAACAAGTTTGAAAACCACTGATTTAGATGAAATTCAGGTTGTATATCTAAACAAGTAGGAGGAAAAATTTTGGCAAAATCCTACACCAATCTTCAATAGTATGTTATTTCTGGCCCATTGGCAGAAGCTTCAATAACATGGCCTGTTACAGAAGTATTGAAGTATTGTTTTAGACTCAAACTGCATGGCAGCCAGCAGGTGCTCGACGGGACCCACCTGAACCTCAGAACCTAGTGAGGGAGGAGCAGGGGAGGAGCATCTTCCTCTTCCTGGAGGATGCTGACTATGAAATGTAGATGCATACACCTGTTGAGCTATTCTCACTATGTGTTGAGAGATCTATCCATCGCTTTCCATGTTGGCAGAAGTAATTTGTGAAGAAGGGTAAGAAGGAATGATGGTGGGCCCAGGCTCCCTCCTGGTATCTTCTGCAAGAAGAGGAAAGCCACGAGGGCAGAGCTGTGGCCAGGGTGCAGCTGGGCACGGGCACCGCTGGTGGGTTGGGGCTAGCTCCCTCCAGGACAGGCGTAATGGAGGAGGCTGGGTCAGAGAATGCAGGGCAGGGGAGAGGGATCCACAGGATGGTGGGGGACACCCGAGGCTCACTGGGCAGCCTGGCTCCCTTGGAGGTGAACCTGAATCTCCATTCCTTGCCAGTGCTTGCCTCGCAGAAACACATCCCAGTCTTTTTGGCTTACTGGATGCTAAGTGGTTTGCATTTCCTTTGGCGGCCTGGGCTTCAAGCATTAAGTCCAACATCAGGTGAGGCACAAAACCAAGAACATCCACATTCTGAACATCTTTCTCCCCCATCCCATCTCTTCACCTGAAGGTCATTGCTGAGTCAATGGATAAGCTGCACTTTCCAGGCCTTAAAGGGCCTGCGGAAGGAGACCTAGTCTGTGTCTGACTCCCGTAACTCCCCATGACGCGAACTTCAGTCCTGCAGAACCGCAGGGACTCATCTTGACACCAGGCGCACACCATGAGGTCAGCCCATTGGTCAGTTTTCGAGTAAGATCAGATGGTGGCTGCTGATCCTGCTCTTGGTGGCCTCTTCCCAGTTCTTCCATTTCGCAGCCAGCCTGCCTGCCAGGAGAGGTACCAGCTGCTCCCCTCTGCCACACCAGAGTGAGGGGGTAATAAGAGGCCACTGCCTTTCTTTACCTCTAGCCTCACGATTTGAGTGCTGAATCTGTGGCTCCCGGGCTCTCTTTATAAAGAGACGGAGGTTTCCTGATCCAGAGACTAGATCGGGACTTGTGGACGCTTAAGGAAGCAGAGAGCGGTCACTGCATGCCTGGGGCTGGGGTTATGGTTAGTGCTGGCCCAGTGGTTTCAAGGTCCTGAAACAACAGGGATTCCTGGGCCTTTGGGACCACAGATGACTCCGGCACTCTCTTGCTTTCTCTGCGCCCAAATGTGCTGACCCCAAACCCAGTGGTTCCATGGGTGGCAGAGTGCGTATGACTGCACCCCACACTTGAGCTCCTCCCCGCCAGGAACAGCAGCCTGTCACAGTGCCCCGAGCCTCTCCAGACCTGCTCTGACGGACTGGCCTTCACTCGACACAACCTGGGACCCCTGGGAAATCTGTGTGTGCCAAGGGCAGCCGCAGGCCCCCAGCAGGCGATGGTGAGGGCTCTGCGGGGCTGTGTCCTGGGGCGCTCTGTCCAGCATGGGCAGAAAGGGCCCAGGCACCTAGAGACAGGAGGTGGGGACCTGCTCAGTGCAGTTCTGTGATGGCTCCTTGCAGTATAATCTCCTCGTTCCCAGTTATTTTCTCCTAGAGAAAACAGTGGGGTGGGAAAGGTGGCGGTGAAGGAGGCCCAGTACTTGCCATCGACAGATGCCGGGGACCGAGACTCCACTCTAAGGGACATGGCAAGCCATGAGAGGGGCTAAGCGGCAGGTCTGGGCTCTCGGGGCCATTGCAGACACAGGCGCTTTTCTTTTCTTTTGCTATTTTAATAGTTAGCCCCAAATCTCAGTGAGGAATGGACCCAGAAAATCCTTTTGGCGAAGGAGCTGAATCCCAGATGAGGTGATGCGGAACTAGCCTACCACAGGGGGGAGGGAGGTTCTCCTCCAGGAGCAAACCTCCGCACAGAGGGGCGGACAGTACCTGCTTCGCCGCGGAGCGCCTTCTCCACGGCAACCCCTCTCTCCTCCAGCTGCCGCTGCCTCTCCTCCACCTGCTCCAGCTGCCGCTGGATGATCTGCCGACAAACAGAACGCGTGAGCTCCCAGCTTGGTCTCATCTCTAGATTTCAAGAGGAAAACTAACTGTCCAAACACAAAGAGGGAGAAAACCATATGATGTCACGGCTCTGGAAAAGGCTCTGGTCTGTGGGCACTGTGCTCAGAGTGTGCGTGCAGACCCCCTGCGCCGGGACTCCGGCCTTGTCACTTGTGCGGACTCCAGGCCCCAGGCCACTGTCAGTCAGCACCAAGCCCGTAGGTAAAGTAGTGCTCAGCCCCTCCTGGGGCAGGGCAAGGACAGGAAGCGGCACACTCTTTGCAGGAAGGAGTTAAGTACTGCGACCTCAGGCCTTACTGAAGTGCTGGAAGAGCACAGTGGAAATTCTGCCTTTACACGTTAAAAAATTAAAAAAGAAATGATCTGTGTAGGCTGAAGACAGAGATTAGTGACTGGGAGAAGAGCTCTGACCTCCCGCAAAATCCCAGGCCCACCAGAGGTTGAGAGGCCACAAACTGACGCTGGACAACAGTTCTCAGAATCGATCTAGTTGACTTTACCATTACTCTAGACGGAGGAATCTGGGAGACTCAAAGCCACTCCCCCTTTTAACAACAGCTCCACAAAGGTGGGGCCTCTGTTGCTGCCTCAAGCCAAAGGCATGCTGGGCCTGTCACCTCAGATGACAAGGATGCCCATGTACCTCTGCTCTGCCTTCTTGGCCTGCCCTTGCCGTGGATGAGGACCAAATAGGAAGGTGCTGCCACGAGATGTTTCCATTTGCATGTGGCGTGGTCCCACCCCCTGCGTTTTACCTGGGCTCGATGTAGCCGCTTAAGCTCCTCTTGCTTGGCCTGTCTCCGAGCTGCCTTTTGCACACGCCGGGTCAGCTTGGCATTCAGTTCCTCCTCTGTGTAGGTCCTCGGCTGGAGAGAACAAGAGATGTCCCCTCAGTCAGGTGCACGCACACCTGAGACAGGTCTGGGCAGCAGGCGCACAGAGAGGGCTGCCCCCAAAGATGGAGCTGGTGCCCTGGCAGGTAGAGTGCCAGCAGGGCAGGGGGTGCCAAGAGACAAGGGCACGAGGCCTGCAGACTCCCCGGCCTGCAGCAGCCCTCAGTGTCACAGGGTGCAACTACAGATCCACAGGGTGAGACATTTTCCCTCTGTGACAGGGAGAGGAGGCTGCATGAGGAGTGACCGTTAGGAAGTTAAAACAGCAAAGGGACATACGCTCCTTCATCACTGAGATCACCTGTTTCCCAAATGAGGATGTCTGCTCTTTTTAAGACTTTGTGGGGGTAAAAATATTGGTAAAATGTCTCCCCAAGCCTCCGGCTTCTCGAAGGCTTACAGGGGAAGGAAAAAGAGAAAAATCAGGATTCTTTTATTTTCTTGTTTGGTATCAAAAGCCACTTTCTTCAGATGAGCGGTATTCATTAGTTTCTTTTAATAAGTGACACCCGACGTAGAGAAAACAGGGTGCTTCTCTTTTAAGTCTGGTGAACCCCAAACTAATACAGTCTGCAGAAGGAACTGTGGAGGTCTCCACAGACTCTGGGGTCCGCAGAGGCAATAGTCAGCCACTGAGCAGAAGAGGACGCAGCCTGCCCAGGGCTGTCGTGCCCGGCACCATCGAGAATCGAGCAGGCAATGGCCCAAACCTGGCGCAGGTCCACTGATGGGACTGCCCGAGTCCGCCTGCCAACCTGGGCAAGAGGGGCTCAGGGGTTTGTCAGATGCTCTGAACAAACACTGGGCAACCACAGAGAGGCCAAGGTTGGGGGTTTGCCTTTATTCACAAGACCCTCTTTACTGCCTCTAAGAAAACTAAACAAGGACACTTTTATAGACTTTAAAGGAGACAAATTCAACTCAGGGGTATAGACTCCTAATCTTTACTCTGGGAGCTCACACGACCGAGGGGCCACTGAATAGGCAGGCCTTACCGGTCCTCAGCGGTGTTCCAGTGCCCTGAGCAACTCCCCTGGCCCTTCATAGAGCTAAGTGTGGTGCACTGCCCCTCTCCAGGGTGCCCAGTCCCACAGGGGCAGCTCTGTCCCCCACCTGGGCACCTGGAGCAAAATGACCGCATGCACTCCAGCCGGCGAAGAGCAGGTGTCTCATCCACCTTCTCTCCCACGGCACAGCGAAAGAAAGTCCTGCTGCCAACGTCTGCTGTGCCCCATGCATGGATGAACCGGTTAGTGAGGACGTGGCTGGGGCCAGGGCAGGGCTGCTCGGTGGTTAATCACAGACAGGCATGCAACGGTGACCAGCCAGTGGGAATGAGACACTACCTTTGATGCATACGATCTCCTGAATGCCAAGACGTGTGGTACATAAATCGACTTTTAAGGGGATGGCAACGGAAAACAAAACAGAATGGTAATGATAATAATGAATAAAAAATTAAAAACAGAACACAGAAATGGAGCAAAATCAGTTAGAAGTTTAAAACAAACACACAAGACTTAAAACACACCACGATTTTCCACAGCGTCACACAGGACTGCCTGAGGAAGCTCCTAGCGGCAGTGTCCGGGTGGACCCCGGCTGTGCGTAAGGCCAGGGCTCACTTTTCTACTGAGTCAAAACAGCTTCTTCCTCACCACCCCCAAACCTTCTCTTGTCTCTGCCTCCCAGGTGAGTAAGTCAGAACTGTTCACACATGGGTCACGTGTGCTCCTTCTCCTCGAGTGACCCATTTGCTATGGAAGCTTAGACCTTCCTGCTGACTGGCGGGCGGCTGGACGTTCCAGCTGTCAGAGACAGATCCAGACATACAGCAAAACCAGCACCGAGCTGAACACTGTCTCCTGAGAGACTCTCTTGCAGTGTTCCTGACCGGGACCATGGGTGCCACCTCTTGATTGTACACAGGGAAAGGAACTGTTATTCACAAGAAGTATTTTTCAGACAGTAACGTGAACCTCTTCTCACCCCACTAAACCTTGAGCAGAGCCGTTCCCAGAGCCAAGGCGAGTTACGTTTGCTCTTCGGGTCTTCATATTAAATAAAGGAGGGAGAGAAAGCAGCGGTTCGAGCTCTGGGAGGCCCACAGGACAGGGAGGTCCTGGGAGCTCCAGGATGGCTGCAACCCTGGCCACCCCTGCTGCTTCTCTGGGCAGCGCGGCCGACCTAGCGGGGACTACGTTTCACAAGCACATTGGACTGGAGAAGAGTAAGTCTGCCTCCTCCAAAGCTGAGCACGTCTGTCCTGCCTCAGGCTGACCACCTCTCTCATGAATCAGAGCGAGAGGAAGAATGTCATTATTAGAACAAGCCAGTTAGAGAAAAGAAAAAGGGCCAGGTGCGGTGGCTCATGCCTGTAATCCCAGCGCTTTGGGAGACTGAGGTGGGAGGATCGCTTGTGCCCAGGAGATAGAGACCAGCCTGGACAACACAATGAGACCCTTTCTCTACAAAAAATTTATAAGTACTGACAATGAAATGTTAAAGAAGAAAAAAAAATTAAAAATTAGCCGGGTGTATTGGTATGCACCTGTAGTCTTTGAAGTCTGGAGTCTATCAGGAGCCTGAGGCAGGAGGATCGCATGAGCCCAGGAGTTGGAGGCTGCAGTGAGCTACTGCGCTCTGCACTCCAACCCAGGCAACAGAGAGAGACCCTGTCTCAAAAAAAAAAAAAAAGAAAGAAAGAAAAAGACTAATGGTTTTTCTAAGCAGCATGTGAAAAACTCCACAGGAACTATTAATACATTAACTACGACCTAGGGAACAGCATTAACATCTTTTAGGTGTGGCTGATGTCAAAATTAAAGTGGGTGGAGGCAGCGGCTGCCTTCTCCACGATGTACCCATTTCTGGGGCCGGCACCAGCTTGGCAGAGGCGGTGCGGTGGGCCCAAGAGCAGAAGGCCAGGGCGGCGGCTGAGCGGGGCCACCAGGGAGCCAGCGTCACAGCGCTCAAGGAGCAGCTAATTAATTGTATTTTAAGTCAGGCTGAAGCAAAGAAAAGAGGGAGATGAGAGTTCTCTCTTATTGGTAGGACTGCAGGTAATTTTTAAAAATCTGCATCATCTTTTCTATAATGAACATTTTAAATAAAAATAGAAGTTATTTTGAGTGGGTTTTTCCCCCTAACAAAACCAAACCCAGGCACTTGTCTCACAGGAGCCTGACTCGGGTGGGTCTGTGGCAGATGGCAGAGGAGCCATCTCCTGCGTTGACGCCGCCACAGCAGGCAGCGCCCACGCGCGGGCGGCAAGCGGCCCCCCTCGGGGCAGGTCGGACCCGTTCTCACCGCAGGGCCCTTGTTCCCACACTTCTTATTCTGAACAATTTCAAGCCTACAGGAAAGTTCAAAGAGGGAGACAATGAACACCCACATACCCTTCACCTGTATTTGCCAAATGTTAACATTTACCACGTGCTTCGTATATGTACGTATGTATGTCGTCTGTCCACATAATCTTTTTTCCTGAATCATTTGTGGACATCACAATCCTTCGTCCCTAAAAATTTTAGCATGTACTTCATAAGAAGAAAGACATTTTCCTACCTTATTACCTTTATCACTTGCAAGGAACATTGATCTAATAACGTTATATATTTATACTTATACAGTCCATGATCGAATCTCCTTAATTTTTCTAAAAATGTCCTTCATAGCTTTTTTATTTTTTAAAGACAAAAGGTCTTACTCTGTCACCCAGGTTAGCAGCTTTGAACTCCTGGGCTCAAGTGATTCTCCTGCCTTAGCCTCCTGAGTAGCTGGGACTAAAGGAGCACACCCTCATGCTAATTTTTAAATTTTTTGTAGAGATAGGGGTCTCGCTATATTGCCCAGGCTGGTCTTGAACTCCTGGCCTCAAGTGATCTTCTTGCCTTGGTTTCCCAAAGCACTAGGATTATAGGCATGAGCCACCACACCCAGCTTTTTCTGGCTGTTTTGTTTTGGTTTGTTTTCCTGCTTTAGTGGCCATGTCTTGAAAATGCACAGTGCTCTGGTCTTGCTCAGGCCAACCCCGCACCACGGTGGAGTCAGGTTAGCTGTTTCTGAGGTTAGTCATCTCCTCGGCTCAGCTTGGGCTTTGATATTTCCTATGTAACCTTCAGCGAACGGCTTTGCCTCTGTGTGCGCACCTGGAGCCCGAGGTCTGCAAGGCCTCTCTGGCTCTAGGCGGGGGAAGGAGACCTCCCTGCTCTTCACACCTGCGGGGCCCTGGGAGAGCCCGCCTGGGACAACAGCCTTGGCACAGCCGGCTCCGGCAGCTGCTGAGCAGCATCCCGCAGGTGTGTCATTAATGGAGGAAGAGTAGAGACACCTGCACGCAACAGCAGCCACAGGTGGAAGTTTTCGACCAACACGACACAACTGGCCGCATGTCCCCATGGTGACCACTGAGGCAAAGTGAATCTTGGACCACATTCTCCTTTCTTCCCTCACCCTCTCAGGACCCGCTAAAGCAGCACCTCTGCCCAGTGCTGGGATGTGTTCAGGGGACGCACCCGCAAATCCAGAAGCAATTCCCAGTCCAGGCCCAATGCTACTGCCTGGGAAAGCTCGCAAGGGGGCACACTCAACCCAGCCCCCGAGGGAGAATGCGGACTCCCAGACCTTTACTTGGCACTGGCCTGGCTCTAGGCATCCGTCTAGGGGAGTGGACAAAGAGCTGGCATGGCCAAGGGAGACCAATGCATTAAGGAGATGAGAAATAGTGACTTGCTTTCTCCAGTCTGCGTGGTTATTTAAAGAGGAACTGATCAGGCCGGAAGGAGGAAACTGGAACGGGCCACACCCTCCTTCCCCAGCCAGGCCTGTGCGGGGGCTCAGGTCCACTGTGGCCCTCCCTGGCTGGCCTACTGGCCAACAGTTCAAGCCTCCCTGGAAGTCAAAGGGGTGGGCGGGCTCCAGTCCAAGCCCCGAGAAGCCTGCAAAGAAGGCCCGTGATGCTCTGGGGCCACTCTCCATTCAAAAACAGAGGTAGGGGGAGCCGGGCCTTCGCCTTGGCCGGACAGTGAGCCCGAGCCCAGCACGGGAGAGTGGCGGTGGGGTGGGATGGCTGCGCTTGCCCTGCCAAGCTGCCGAGGCCTCTTGGGTCTCAGCTCTCATCCCGGCACTGTCTCTAATCCTTCTGCCTCCTCCAACTTGGACCTAGACGAAGCTCCAAGAGCCCTCTGGAAATCAGAAGACAGAACAGGCGCCTGAGGGAGGCTCGTGACGAGGACGCTCCGCACTGAGACTCACTCCTCAGGGGGCGGGCCGGCCACATCTCCCGAGCCCTGCGCTGCGGGACGGCCCGGTCGGCCCAGCACACGCCCTGCCTGGGTTCCTGGACCAGGTCCTTAAGATCAGAAAGGCCCCCCGCTACCAAGCCGCTGAGCAGCAGCACGGCCAGGAGCACCCGTAGCACCCGCCTCAGCCCGCGGCTCCCGTCCCCACCCCGAGCACGGGCAGCCCTGCCCCCGCCACTCCGGCGGATGCCGCGTGCTATGCGGGATTTCTGAGAGAAAAAAGAACGACAGACAACACTGGGCTGCTTCCCAAAGGTGAAGAGACGCTTCGAGCATAGAACGCCTCTGGTGCTCCTCACAAGAGCTCTTGCCACGGAGGAAGCACAAGCCCCGGCTGCTCGCTTAAAAAGCCTACGGAAAGACCCCCTTTCTGTCTCGTCCTGGGACCACACACCTCTCGCTTGGACTTCTGGGAGGCCCTCTCGAGGATGTCGTCGCTGGAGAGGTCCGAGTCCTCTGAGAAACTCAGCTGGCGCCGGAGCTGCAGGTCTGCGGGAGGAGAGCAGAGGCCCAGTGAGGACAGTGGCCGGCCCACGGCACGTGGCTCTTCCCCCATCTCCATATCCGCGCGCGCGGCCTGGCAGATGAGGTGGGGAGTTGATTTCCTTTTAGTTTAAGTGACTCTTCTTCCATACCGGGTGGAGGGCAGGAGCTAGGATGCTGGCACTGCCAGGGCGGAGGCGGAGCCCACACCTGCCCGCCCACTCCAGCTTGGTAGGCACCCCCCACGCTCCCCGGGGTCGCGTGACTTCAGGAAGGGCACAAACCTTCGAAGTCTCCCTTACCCAGTTCCAAGGTGGTTTTTAGAATTATTTCACGAAGCGGGGACATGCCCTGTGACCCCATGGTTTGGTTCCCTTCCCCCCATCAGCACAGCTCCTAAGAAGCTCGGGGGCAGCACGTGAAAGACTCTTCTGAGAACGCCTCAGAGACAGCAGCCTCCTGCTCTGCCCACTGCGGCCGCTTGGCTGCAACCCACCTGCCCTCAGGATGGGGGCCACCCTGTGCCGGCCGGAGTCCACTGTGGCGCCACTGGAGGGAGTGCTGGGGCAGGACTTGTCATCGGCCTTCTTCTTCTTGTCCTTCTTGTACCCGGAGAAGACCGACTTCCACAGGGACTTGGGCTTGGAGGCTGCTTCCTCTAGGAGGCTGGGGCTGGGTTTCTCCAGGGGCCGGCCCTCGCCTTTGGGCTTCTTCTCTTTCTTGTTTCTGCGGGGGGAGAAGAGTGATGACCTCTTCTTGCTCTTCCCACTGGAGCCCTCAGATGAAGTGACAGAACCGTCTGGGCCTCCCGAGTCCGTTGGAGGGGAGAGGGCCTCCTCACTGGGGGCTCCGTGCTTCAAGGTGGGCTCCTCGGGGCGGCGGGGGGACTCGGCCCCACGGTCCTTGCCCTGGGAAGGTGCTGAGGCCACCTTTCGGGACCTGGGGGCCTCGGTTGCCACCTGCACCTCCTGCATCCTGCTCAGCTGCTTGGCCATGGCGTCCCGCAGTGCTTGGCTCTTCACAGACTTCTCCCGGGCTCGCATGCGCTCCTCCGCCAGCTCCTTGGCCTCCGGAGAGACCAAGGGCAGTGCCCTCTTCTGCAGCTGGGGCGCGCCCTCCAGGGCAGGCAGCTTCCCGTTCTCCTTGGCCAGGGGCAAGTGGAGGGCCTTCGCAGGGCGCGGCCAGCAGGACGGGGGTGTGAAGAACTTCTCCTGCACACTCGAGTCCTCAGTCTTGTCATCATACGTGTCTTCCACATCATCAGCGAAGGGGATCTCGTCCACGCTCTCCACGAATGACTTCCGCACCTCCTCCCGGCGGGGCTGGGCAGGCTCCAGGGGGGCCCGCACCAACGTGGCAGGCGGGGGCGGCGGGGCCACCGAGGCCTTGGGCCGGGCTTCCTTGTGCTCGCAGGGCCTCCTCCGCAGAGTGGCGGGCTCCTCCCCGGGCGGCGGCGGCGGGGGCGGGCTGGAGGGTGGAGTGAGCATGGCAGAGTCCGAGGTGTTGAAGCTCTGGCTGCCCAGGGTCTTCATGTTGGAGGAGCTCCCGTGAAGGCCCAGGCCAGAGCTGCTGGACAGGTCCCTCCGCTCCTCCTGGGAGCTTCTTAGTTCTCGGTCAGACGGTGACTTGGGAGTCGGCAGGGGGGGCTGGTCGCCCTCTGGCTTTGGCAGGCCCAGCCTCTGAGGAACAGGTGGAGGTTTTAGAAGATGGAGACCCTCATCCTGCGGGGATTTTTCAACTGAATAGGCTTTCAGGGACGCCGGCTTAAAGGCAGGCGAGGGGAAGCAGGGCTCGGGCCCCTTGCTGCGATCCACAGGCGTGAGCCCAAGGCTGCGGCGGATCTCGGCACTCTTCATCCAGAACTCCTCCACCAGGTCGTTCCGTTTGAGGGCCTCGTCCACAGGGAGAGGGCTGCCCAATTTGTCCCTGGTGTCCACTTGGCTCTTGACGGGGAGTGGGGTGAGGGGGGTTGATGTCTTGGCTGGAACGGGCTGGAAGCGTACGGGGGACAGGGTAGGGGATGGCACGGTGGCCTCAGAGGACGGCTGAGGCTGGGAGCAGATGGGGAGCAGCGTGGAGCGGGGTGCAGAGGTGGCCAGTGGCGACAGAGGCTGCGGACTCCCTGGCGAGGCAGGGGTCCTGGCTTCCGGCAGAGCCACCGGCTGAGAGCGGATGGGAGAGTGCGCAGTGTTCAGATCAGTGGGGGCTTCGGCTCTGGGCTTCTCTTTGGGGAGCGAAGGCTCAGGGAAAAGGTGCTCCTCTGGTGATTTCACCTTGGTAGTAACAGGGACAAGTGGGATTTGGGGCCCCTACAGAAAAGGAAGACAGAAGCCACTTAGAGGGTGAGGGTTTCGATGGGCAGCACAATCCCTTAGGGGGCTTTCTCGCTCAAAGGGCCTGAGCCTGTTGGAATAAATTCCTCCCTGTGTCTTTCTCACTATTATTCGAATGGCTTCAGGAGAACCTTTCTCACTTTCTGCTCTATTTGTCAATTTTTAGAACTACTCTACTTACTTTGGACAGACTGGGCTTTAGGTGTGGTTCATCTCAAGCACATCCTATATCCTTTGTCCACTGACATGCACAATGGTCAAAAGGACACCAGTGAACGCAGCTCTCAGCCCCGCAGCAACCCCCAGAGCCGAGATCCCTGACTTACGTGCAGAGGGGCCAGTGCCGTAAGAAGACTGATCATGATACAGACTGATAAGTAACTATCTTCAAATAGTCCTTCCTGGGAAGCTCAAAGATGTGCACAGATATTCCCGCACTAACCCACATATCACCCCATCTGAGCGTCTCAGTAAACAAAGCCCCCATTTCACAGATAAAAATCACCCAATAGTTACTCGCTTCCCAGAGTCCCAAAGACCAAATCCAGCAGATGTGGCTCCTGCCCTCTGGCCTTCTCCCTGATCCGCCCTGCAGAGAGTCCTTCCCAACCACACCCCACAGGACGTGCCCTGTTCAATGTGTGGTTCGCACACCATGGGCAATCTGGATACTTTGTTTTTATTGAGACAGAGTCTCACTCTGTTGCCCTGGCTAGAGTGCCGTGGCATCAGCCTAGCTCACAGCAACCTCAAACTCCTGGGCTCAAGCGATCCTCCTGCCTCAGCCTCCCAAAGTGCTAAAGTACTATGATTACGAGCATGAGCCACCACACCTGGCCCAAAAATAAGCTTATTTTTAACACAAGCGGTCTGTGGACCCGGAAGGGTGGCGCAGGGATGGATGACTTGGGTCTGGGGTCCATGTGGGGCAGGGTTAGGAGGTGCTGCCCAGAGCCTTGTCCCCACGAGAGCTGAGCTGGAACCCTGAGGCTGCCCCTGTGCCGACAGCTCCGCTTAGCACAAGGAGCGAAGACGTTTTTTATTCTTCCTTAGAATGAGGAGGCCAGTGGGTTACTTCAGCTCTGGTCTTTGTGGGCCTCACGCCAAAGGCCCTAAGAGATTAACACACGCCCCCAGGGTCCCAACGGTTCTCCTTTCCCCGTTGTGAGCTTCGAATTCTTACCTCTGCCACAGGGCTGTGGACGGGGGTGAGCAGAAGGGCTTGCTCCTGAGGGGGCCGGATGGGGCTGGAAGCTTGGGAGGGATCTGAGAAGAACAGACACAGGGACTCACAAGAGGAACCCCTTTCTGTCCGCCCCAGGAAGGGTGTCATGCTGTTAGCGGCTGTGTGCAGAGGAGGGGAGGATGGTAGAGGGCCAGGCTGAGCTAGCTCACGCACAGTCCCGAGCCTCCTCCTTGCTAATCTCTGGGAAGAATAGGTCGTCTCAGAGGCAAGGGATCCTGGGACGCGTCTCCCAGGGCGCCGTCCAGCACCCTCCTCTGCGGGTGCGCTTGTCAGCACTGTGTCAGTGCTGACCTTCTTCGTGTGCGTGGCCTGCGTCCCAAGCTTTGGGATGCACCTCCTACCCTTCCACAGCCCAGGGCAGGCGGAAGGAGAAAGCACGGAGCTGCCTGCCCCCTGGGGGCCGGTGTGCGGCCCGCTCTGCTCTGCAGGGCCGGGTGCTCTGTGCCACTCTGCTTGCGAGGTTCTCCCAGGAATCCTGGAAGCTGCCTTGCCTGCTGGAAGCAGACTCACCTCTCTCTTGTCGCTTTGGCAAGGCGGGTGGTTTCTCCTCCTCATCTTCTGACACCCTCAGCTCCAGTTCTGCCTCCACCTCGGCCCGGCGCTGCAAGCGGAGCTCCGTCTCAGCGTCGGATGGGATGTCGTCAGACCAGTGCTGATCTGGCAGAGGGAAGGGACACACCTGGGTATACACCCTGAGCGAGGCCACGCAGCTTTTCTGTCTCCGCAGAGAATAGCCCGACAGCACTCTCCTGCTCCAAGCACACTGTCCTTTGCAGTGTGGTGTCTCAGAGCCTGTGGGGCTCCATTTCTTTTAAACACAGCAACGATGACATGTGACAGGCCCCGGCAGAGAGGGAAAGACTTGGTTGGGGTGCGCCGGTGGAGGGCAGGCCTGGCCTCCCGGCCCCACTGTCTGTGCTCCTGCTCCTCACCCCAGCCCCAACCTGCAGCCCAACTCTGCAGTCGGGGTCTGTGCTCCCCGGTCTCGCCTGGGCTTTCCTTCCCAATTCCCCGAGCCCGTCCCTGCCTCCTTCCCCCACCACCTGCACGGCAATTCTGAGCACACCTCCTCCTGGTACCTCGCTTTCAGAGGGCGTCAGCAGCATTAACGGCCCCGCATAAGGCCCCGGATTTGCCCAGGGTCCCACCTGCAGCTCCACAAGAGCAGGACACATGAACTGGTGGCTTCCAGGAGGGTGAAATGGGACACATTCAAGTCACCAGTGGGCAGTTCAAAGAATGAACCAGGAGACCCAATGGCCGCCTTCCCTGAGCACCTTGCTTTTGGTTTTTAAGCCAAAAAGTGTGTTGCTTTCATCTTTCCCGAGTTCCAGTCACTCTGGCCCTGTCGCCAGTGAGGAACAGGCACTGCCATGGGGGGAGGGGAGGTCAGGCCGTACCATCATCCAGCTCAGCACCAGTGTCCCCCGGGTCCCCATCCTCCGCTGCCGCCCCTTCTATCTCCGCTGGCTCCGAGTCCACATCTTCCTCCAGGTGGTTTTCATCCAATGGGACTGCAAAGCAGAAATGTTCAAAGAAAGGAAGGAAAGGACAGACAGACAGACGGCAGACTGCCTCTGCAGGTGGGAAAGAGGTATTGCTTTCCTCGGGGTTGTACGTGCAGGCCAGGAGAAGGGAGAGGCGTCAGACGGTGTGGGCGCTGGGGAGGCCCAGGCCGTCCTGAGCACAGGGAGCTGGCCTTTCCCCGCACTAGTGGGGCTGGCGGAAGGCGGAGAGCAGCTGGAGGCCCGGTCGCTTTCCCTCTTCCTCCAAAGGCTGCTGCAAGAGCCTCAAGTTGGAGAAGGACAGAGGGGAACCCTGCTTCTCTGGCCCGGCCCAGCCCAGCAGGCACCAAGACGCGGCCAAGGCGCTGCTCTCAGCCATCGGTGCCCGCGTGCCGGCGCTGCGCCGACCGCCTCACATGCCGTGAGCCATTTAGTCCTCATGACACAGGTCGAGTATCCCAAATCTGAAATTCGACGTGCTCTAAAATCTGAAACTTTTTGAGCTCTGACATGATAACTACAGGTAGAAAATTCCGCAGCTGACCTCGTGTGATGAGTCACGGGCAAAATTCTGTTTCATGCCCAAAATCATTAGAGATATTGTATAAAATCACCTTCAGGCTACGTGGATAAGGTGTAGATGAAACATAAATGAATTTCATGTTTAGACTAGGGTCCCATCCCCAAGATAACTCATTATATATATGTAGATATTCCAAAATCCAAAACAATCCGAAATCTGAAACACTTCGGATCCCGAGCATTTTGGATAAGGGGTACTCAACCTGTGATACAATTAGAGGGACCATTTATAATTCCTTCCTTTCAGTGAGAAAACTGAGGCCTGGGCAGTTTAGGTGACGTGCTTCTGCCACGCAGCCCGGTCCAGCAGGCACAGTGGTGCACTGGTGACGCCAGTGAGCGAGCACAGGCCCTGAGGGCCCGCCCCCTTCAGCTGGCAGACGTGCGGCCTCTCTTGGGGTAATTTAGAGAAATATTTGTTGAAACACCGGGGGAGGGCCTGAGGGGTATGTAAAGTTCATTCTCTGGACGCAAGAGGGGCCCGTCAGTGCTGCAGAAAGAGGCAGAGCACTCGTCAGCTTCCTCCCTCCTGCGGAGCCAGCCCCTGGACACACAGCTTGCACGCACACACACGCCCCCGCCGGCCCGGTCTCTGCACGCTCGGAGCTCGCGCTGGCAGCTCGGAGCAAGAGAGCAGTTGAGAAAGCAACGTGCACTGCCTCAGGGACGCCGTCAGACTCCTGTGTCACCTGAGACTGACAGGACCCACTTGCCAGGGGCCCTAAGCGCTCTTCTAGGGTTCTAAGCACAGCCGGGCTCGAATCTTTCCTACAGGCTTTCATCTCAGGAAACGCGTTATGCTTTGACTTGTGCTGATATTTACGAGTAGGCGGGGGGACAGAGAACCAGCGGCATGGCGAGGAGGACCAGGTGGATCTCTTAGAAAGCCGCGCTCAGATGGCAGGGGGCGGCTCAGCACCCTTTCCCAGGGCGGCCTAACGCATCTATCTGCATCTCCAACACCCTGAGGACGTGTGTGAGACTGAGGTCAGAGAGTAACGACAGCAGGGATGCGACCACCTTTGGGGCGGGGTGGGCAGCAAAGGCCTGTGACCAGGAAGAGGCACTTGGAGGGTGCTCATGATGTTCTATTTCTTGACCTGGGTTGCTACAAAAGCTTTTGTTTCTTTAATAATTCCTTAAGCTGTATATTCATCTTTTATGCACAGCTCATAATATGATGGTTCAAATCTAGCTTTTGGAGCACTGTATGAAACAGGTTTGGAATGGAACAGACAAGTGGCTCGGGTTAGGGGAAGGAACGGGGGAGCCTCAGGATAAGCTGGCAAAGTTACTGCCATGTCGCCCCTCCTAAGACACCAGAGAGGCCCATGGAGTTGGCAGTGCCAAGGTGCTTTCCTACGATGATGGCATTTGCTGGGGGAAATACTGGGGAAAAACTACTCAGTTATTTTCACGGGTTAAAACCTTTGTGTGATAGCTTTGCTTTTGGTCGCTCAAGGAAAACAGTGCATCAGACACCAGGAGGCACGAATAAAAGCCCTACCAGAATCACCAGTCTCCTCTGGGCCCCTCCTCAAATCTGAGCTTCCTATTTGGGTAGCGAATTCATCACTGCGCCACACCATTTCTGAGGAGGCTGGTGGGATCACAGCCCCGGTAGGAACAGGACCTGGCCCGTCCTGTGGAGAGCCCCTGTGCCTGCTGCATCTGCCTGAACAACTCTGAGTGTCTGGGCAGAGAGACGGTAACTTCACACCCTCGCTGGTGAGTGGACTGGAAGCCAGTAGCCAGGAGACCCCACACAGGCCCCCACTCCGGCAGAGTCCAAGGCACGCTTGAAGCAGCCTGATTCATCCCGGGCCCCGGTCCTTCGCGTGGTTCTCCTATTGAGAGTTTCCACTAAGCAGCGTCTGCGGTAGAGTCAGAAGGGTAAGAAGTCTACACTCCTTGGCAGTACCTTGAAAGGAACCATTGTCATGTACATCAAAAAACAAACACGTGAGAAGTATCAATGCAGCAGCGGCAGGTGTTGAAAGAGACGCAGCTTGAGGATGGAACTGGGGTTAAATCCAGGTTAAGATGGAGCGTGGGGTGCCAGAAGCTGCCACACAAGTTGAGGAGCCGCACGCCATGGAAGCCGGGAGTCGCTGACATACTTAGCTCTTGGTTCATTTTAGTCCTGGAAGCGCAGCCGTGTCCCCTACGCTAGGGCTGCCCGCTAACCAGAGGGGGGAGTGCAGTTTCTGCTCGCAGGACTGACGGCTCAGGGGAGGCCTTCCCTCTCTCCTCGCGGCCGCGTGAGGCACCCCCTGACTTGCGTGTGCCTGTCTGTTCTCCCTGCTGCTGCTGAGGACAAAGGGACAGGCTGGTGAAGGTCCACCAGCTCCAATCTGCCCGTCCCAGAAGCAGCCACCCTGACGGTGTGCTCAGCTGCGGGTGACACTGGCCCTACATGAGCAGGGTTTGATGAGCGTGGAGGGACTTTGGTGTCGTCGTGACGGGGGTCAGGTGGAGGCCGCACTAACATTCCAAGGGCAGAGGCCGAGGATGTTAAACCTCCAGCACGGGAAAGAACTGTCCAGCCCAAACACCAGTAGCCCCTCACTGAGAAACACATTTCCAGAAAATTCAGGAAGGACAGGCCAGCTTTCTCAGCTCTCTTTGGGCCTCCGTGCTTAAAGAGATGCCTGTACCTCAGTCTGGAGAGTCTGTCCCTCCACTTTGGCTGAACAATATCCACAGCCCTCCACTCTCCCTCTGCAGCGGTCATTTCTCCATAAATGTCCCGAGTTCTGACTGTTACCTTCTCTGATACTTTGGTAGATTTGTGGAATATCATCTGACTCCTCGACTTTCATACTGGCTTGCTACCCAGTTGAATTTCAACAGACTTCAAACCTCAGTGCTAAAATGTCCCTTCAGCTTTGGCCTTTCCCCCCAACTTCTATTAATGACAAACTTCTGCCTCTGTCCTGCCTACACCTTTGCTCCCCTCTGAGCTGCCCCGAGGGTGTGGGGTGCGCGTCTGGCCCATGCAAGGACCGCTGCCTGGGTGAGGCATGCACGTGCCCCCGCCCGCTTCTGGCCGCCCTGGCATGCACTAGTGACAGGCCCAGGGTTCTAGTGTTAAGGTACCAGCAGAGCTGCCTAGAGAGAGAGGTTACAGTGAGGGGAGGGAGCAAACATCACCAGACTACCTCCGGAGACCGTCTCCAGCCAGGCCTGCACTGCCGCGCGGCGTACGGAGGGAAGGTCGGGCACTGAATTTAAAACAGACGACAAACACACAGTTACACAGTAAGAAGCGTTCCCGACGAGGAGAGCTGAGGTCGTCCCTAAAGTCCGACACAGAAGAGAAACCAAGACGATGTTACAAGAGGCCCGTCCGGCACTGGTGGGGGTAATGGCCGGCAGTTAGCCTGCATGGCAGGTGTCCAGGGAGAAGAGAGAAGAGAGAACCAAGGGGGGCCAGGGTCGGTGCAGAGCTGCAGGGCTCTTCCGATCCGACGTCTCTGGTCAGCAGAGTCTCTTTCACCAACCTCCGCAGAGCTGCTCCGTGTCCAGTGCCGCAAAGGCCAGTCACAGAGGCTGGTCTCGCCTGCAGGTGAAGATGTGGGCTGGGGGGATCGAGTGTCCCACTAAAGGCTAAGCTTCACGTCACCAGGGGCCTCCCCTCGCTGTGCTGAGAGCCCTGCAGGGCGCATGGCCGTGACCGGTGCCGGGTGAAAACAGGTAGATGAGTGAGAAGGGGGCAGAGGTCTGTGAGCCCGAGGGTGGCCGGATTGGATGGCACGGCCACCACCATGTCCCTCAGCAGTCTCCATTTTTCCTCTTATTGCTGCTCCTTTATTAAAAGCAGCCGGAATAAGGTACATCTTCATCCCGTTGTGCAGCGCAGGTCGCCGCACCCACCGGAGCTGGGAATTATGCTAGCTACTGCAGAGGCCGCCTCCATATAAACGTCTTCCTAAAAATTCGTCTCACCTCAAAACGCGCTCCCCCTGCCTCCTGCCACTGCACATTCACGCCCAGACACACTCCATGAGGAAAGCACCAGAACACCTTACAAAGTGGGGAAAGAGTAACTCTGTCTGGAGATGTGGGACAAAGAAAGCAAACTCGTGGTTTCCCAAGGCCAGGCTCACTGCACTATTCTGCATCAACAGAGAAAGAGCCCACAACCTCTTAATCCATAGAGAACTTTACATACCCTCAAATGACAGTCAAGGGCAGTGTCACAATTAACATCGGGACAGTGAAATGCTCTGCTGGCTCCTACTTTTGATTAAACCGATGGCCGTGACCCTAACAGAAAGGTCGTCTGCAGCAGCAGCGGCAGGGACAGGGGCTGGAGGTGCTCAGCGGTGGTCTCGACCTCGGATCCGCAAGCGGTTACCTCTAGAAGCAGAGGACTCGGAGGTCGGCACCGTCCTCTCCTCCTCCTCTTTCTCGCGGATATGCGTCCAGTGCACATCAGCCTGGATCTCCAAGGGATCCGCTGGGTTTACGATCTGCTGCAGCCTCTGGTTCCCGGCTAGTGCACCAGGTTCAAGGGGCGGAGGAGATGAAGGGGAGGAAGGAGGGAGAAAATCGACAGTCAAGGGAAGGAGGGAATGAGACACCACAGGAAAGGAAACAGAAGGAGAAGTCACAGCGTTGGCCAGGATCAGTGTGAATCAGAAAGAGGCAAACACTGAGCGCACACACTGCACACACGCACACGAACTGCTGCTACTCACTCATTCAATTCGATTAAGTCGTTTCAAGCCCGGCACCTACTATTAATTTCCAAGACGACAATCACACATTCCAACCCAAAATACAGAGAGAACTTTTCTGATGCTCTTTTCATCCTAAACTGCATTTGAGGGCCCCCATGCCAAGCTGGGAAAAGAGAGCAGATTACAACTGGCTTCTGCAGGACCAGCCCGCCAGGGTCACGAGGACTCAGCTCTGTCACCCAGCACAGTGAGACCCCAAAGACGCACCACTCATGCCCTTTCTGCTGGTCACCTGGCAAGGTGCTTACCTCCACCTGCCAAGCTGGCTGCTTCTCCGCTGAGATTTAAGCCGAGCAACAAGGGAGAGGTGGGAGGGGACTACGCTGCTCTGTCACGAGCAGCAACTCACACAGGGCAGAGTGTACTTTGTTGGTACTTCTGTTTTTATCTTCTGCAGCTCAAGCTGCTCCGACAGAGAAAAAGTCCCCTCCCCTAAAGGGCCTCGTGCTGCATGCTGGGTCTGCGGCGAGGCCACGGGGCTGTGGAGACACGGCTGGGGTGGCAAGCAGAACTCTGTCCCGCACATCCTCGAAGCTCTGGGAGTTCACGGGTAGGAACAAGGTCGACACCTGTCTGCTTTTTCTGAGGTCAAAGCCCTTTTCCTCAGAACTCCATTGAGTGCCCCACTGATACCCTCTGGACACAAGACCTGGCTTCTCGGCTCAGAGGAAACTCACCCATGGCCCTTTAGATTATTCTTGCTGTCAGAGCCCAAGGCCTATGCAGCCCTGGCCCCGTGGATCCCGTTAGTTAGTGCTTGGATCATGCCACGCAGATGGGTTAAGATAAAGGGACAGTTAGCAACCTGTGGGGAGCGGACATGCTATAAGGGAGGGGGCTGTTCAGGCAGCAAGAGCGGGTGCCACCTGACCTGAAGGGGACTGGGGCTCCTGCCAGGAGCCAGCATCCGTCTGGGAATGTACATCACGCCTCCTCTCAGCAGTCTCCCCGGACAATCTGGCCTTGGCTTTAGTCACTATAAGCACAACCTCCTAACTGTAAGCAACAGGGAATGTGATACGGGCAGAAATTGCCAGTAAGACCACCAAATGTGGATGCTCGCACTACGCTCTCTTGTGTGTCCGGTATTTAGCGCCTCTCGTACTCCCTGACTGAAGCTACTGGTCTCTATATATTCATGGACTTTGTCTCAGGTCTATTTGCCTTTATGGTGCTGGATGGGGCTGAATCGCAGCAAAGGTTTAGATATCTTTGGACTGAGGAAGGTAAGGCAAAGAGAAAAAGGCAGGGCCTCTTTCCCTTGTGAGCAACAAAGGGAAGAGAGCAATTCTTCTACCTGAGCATGTTCTCTTCCTGATAATGCCTCCAGCCCTGGGGGCTTATCAACAGTACAAAGCCAGCATTTCCTCCTTTCTCAGAGAAACGCTGAAGGCACCTGAGGTGGGGGCATGAGATTTTTAGCACAGAGAAGAGGCAGAGTCTTAACTGGAAGAGGGGAACTTGCGGCAAAACACGCATGGAACAGATGGGGCCACGTCCAGTAAGGCTACTTCTGGAGTCTCGTCTGACTTCCTCCTGCGTCTCTCTTGACGCCCACGCTACTCTGCAGGCGACTGCCTGTGCGGTGCGCCCAGGGCTGGGGGCCCAGCGAGACGTGTGCAAAGCCTGGCAGTGCAGGCTTGTCCTGTGAAACCTGCTCTGGGAGGCGAATTCTGGATGGCTAATAGGGAGCCGGGGTAGAAGGCGGGCAAGGGGCAGCGTGGGTACCTTTACGTGTAGAGAGATGCTGGAGACGCTGGCCTTGCAGGGGTTCTCTGTCCCGGGGGCAGTACTCCCCTTCTACAGCAGGGGGAGCCAGACACCCACCACAGCGTCAAGCATCCCGCAGGGTAATGGAGAGAAAAGGCAAATGGAGGGAGGAAAGAGAATACAGCCATCTTCAGCCGCAGGGCAACAGCGTCCTGCCCCTGCCTACGTGGCACCGAAGGCCGCTGCCCAAAAGACACACTGCGGGCTAGGACCACAGGCTCCCGTCCGGGAACTTTCAGAGTCTGGCTGCGTTTGTCAGTACGTGTTTCTCTAGTTAAAGCCGGTTTCCTACAGGTTTGGTCTTGATATTAGGTCCAAGTCCGGAAAGTGAAGTCTGCGTGAACTGCTGGACTAACGCTCCTGAAAAGGGAACAAGCTTGACCCTAAGCTGTGTCGGGGCTACAAGCCACTAAGCATTAATCATCAGATGGAGATAATGACGCCTGGAATAATGCAAACAAAATACCTTTCCCTGGATGAGCTGTGACCATGCTCACCCCTCTGACTAGCAGGGACGTGGGAGCTACTCCGGGGCTGCCACGGTCTGTGGACATGGCAGTGTGGAGGAGGAACTCGAGGCTCGGGCACAGGCCCTGGGCCTGTCTTCTGCTTGTGCAGACCTTGCTCGTTTCTCATACACAGACTGAGCAGGAAGGGGCAGGCTGCCCAGTGCCACCTTGTGGGTCCTGCCCCGGCCTCCCTCCACCTGTAGGAGAACAAGAGCAGCTCCTTAGTGATCTGAGGACATGCTGTGACCCTAACTGTTCACGCTGACACGGGGTGTGTTTCCCTCTTGCCCAACCTGCCTCATCGGGGCCCGTGTCCCAGAGCCACACACTCTCGGGGCCCAGCCCAGGAATGTGAGCCGTGTCGGGGAAGGGCTTGGGCCTTGCCCAAGAAAACAGACCCTGGGATGGGCCTGGGCAGCAAGCGCACTGAATTCCAGGAAAAGCAGAGATAAGCACGAGAACAGTGGAGCCGTCAGTGCCAGCTCCATGGGGCCTGGGGCTGTCCAGGATTTAATCTGCTTCTCTGACACCGGCTGGGAGGCTTTGGTGCTCAGAAATTAAAGGCCATGTCCTTCCTGTTCACCTCATGCCTGTCTGCAGGGGAATCAGTCTCTGCCTGTCCTGGTTCCTTGCTCATCACCCACCAGACTCTGCACAACCAGACAGGGAAGAATGACCCTCTCTTTACACAGTTAACAAGAGGAGGCCCCCACAAGTCCTTCCTCATCACTGAAGGTCACACAAAGCCAGAGATAGGAACAGAATTGAAAAATTTTGAGTCCAAGGCAAGAGAATATTTCAGAACCAACCAGAGTGACTGGATACCAAGACTATGATGCTCCTTTCCAGGACACTGGCCCCAAGTGTTACTCTCGGTGTCATCGATTGAACCCTGTCCAGTGGGCACCTAAGCTCATAGCAGCCTCCAACATCCAAGACTAGGAACCAGGGAATCCTCTAGAAAGCGCAATTCCTTTTCTTTCTTAAAATAAACTTCTGTAACTGAAACTAAAGGGAAAAAGGAAAAAACGAGGAGACAAGAACGAGTGACCTAATTCAGATGGAGTCCTTAGACTGGCCCTCTGCCTTCCACATTCAATTTCTAATGAAAGTGTGCACAGGGGCCACCGTTCGCACTGTCGATGGCCAGACACCACAGTGTCCTCTCCTCTGCCCCATCTCTCAGGTCAGGAGGAAGCGTCCCCAGGCTCTGAGAGGCACATCTATGTGACGTTAGCCTCAGAAACCTCAAACACGCACACTTGGAATGGATCTCTGGGGGGATGGGGTCAGGGTTAGGGGAAGAGATTTTTTCCTGACCTTCACTGGACTCTTCCTCCTCGTCATATTCTTCCTCCTCCTCTTCTTCATACTCTTCCTCCTCCTCCTCCTCCTCCTCCTCCTCTTCATTCCTAGGCCCAAAGCTTTTGGAGGCCTCGAGCTCCTCTTCACTTTTCCCTTTCAGAAGAGCGTGGATCCTCACGGCCTCCTTCCAGGGGACGCCGCCCAGGTCAGAGGGGGGCAGCTGCAGCTCCTCCTCCTCCTCCTCTTCATCCTCCTCCTCCTCCATGTCAGACTCAGAACTGCTGTGAGGAAGAACCATGCGCCAGAGTGAGGGAATGACAAAAGCTGGAAAGGGGGAAGGCTAGGAGTCACGATCAGAGGCACCGTGTCTCGAAGCCCCTGCTGAGCAGGGTGGGGCCAGCGCCCTTCCCCGACCAGGGAGGGCTGGGAGAGGAGAGAGAGTGGCTATCAGGGTGGCACAGGACACACTCATCCAGGTATAACCACCTGCACAAACCCGCCTGGGGGGCGCTTCTGTCCAGCAAATCCCAAGATCACGGGGCTAAGTTTCACAGAGGGCCTTGAGGGCATGAGTAGAGGCAGTGGACTCATTCTGAAATAAACTTATGACCCTGGGAATTGGGAAGAAGAGAAAGTCTTCTTTCGTCTCACAGGAGGGGAACCTGTGGCCTTTTGCTGAATCCAAATTTTACAGAACAAATCCTTTTAATAAAGGGATTTGTCCTGTGAAGTTTGGATTTGGTGGAGGGGGTCGCACGTGGGGATCTGGAGGGACATGTGTGGCCTTGAAGCTGCAGCTTCCCTACCCTGAGATGCGGGGGCCTGGCGTGTGCGGGGAGGGAGGAGCACGCGTGGCCCGGACCGAACTGGCTATCAGGGTCCGCGTGCCGGCCGGGGTGGCGAGGAGGCGGCAGGTTCAACTTCCCTGTGCTCCTTCAGGCCCCACGAAGGGCCAGTCCCTGAGCTGGATGCTGGGAGCACGCAGGGAGGTGGCAGCAAAGGCAATGGCCACTGCTAAGCTACAGGAAAGATAAGAGGAAAGGGCAGAGACAAACAGCCCGACCCCTGGGGTCACCCCTCCCGCCTGCCTGCGGCAGTGTCCACACTGCTCCCCGCTGCACAGGCTGGCTCAGCTAGAGAAGGACGCAGCACCGTGTGGGAACACACTTGTTATGGCTCACACAAGCCCAAACCATGGCTCTCCACTCTCTAGGGCACCCTCCCGGAGCGTTCACATCCTCCTCCCCTGCCCCGCAGGGAGGTAGTCCATGAACAGAACTGGCTCTCTGTGGTGCTGTGGGTGCCAGTGTAGGCCAAAACCCCAATCAGGGTTGCACGAGTGGGGAGTTTCCTGTCTCGTGGTCTGATAATTCCCAGGGGTCACTTCAGAAGAGGCCTCGCCCTCAGTGAGAAGTGTGTATTGGACCGGGCTGGAGGAAATCTGGCTTTTGCCATAAAGCAATGGCCCGACCTCCCACACAAGGGAGCCCCAAACCCCAGAAGCACTGGGTGGAGAGGCGGCGTCCAGCCCTGACTCGCTGCAAGGGTGGGGTCCTCTCTCTGCCGGGTGGGCTTGCTCACAGCCTACTGCGTGTGACAGGGCGAGCCAGTGGATACAGCGACGAGGACAACGGCGTCCATGATTGGTGCTGTTGGTGCTGTGTGGCAAAGAATCTCGCCTTGCCCAGAGAAAGCCTGGCCTTTGTCCTTGGCTCAGGGAGGGAAACTCTAAATCCCTGAATGCCCTGCCTGAGGGTGCTGTCATTGTTTGCCTGGGGGCCTCCGGTGGTGGTGGGCAGTCTAAAATGTGGTTTAGGGTGAGGGCTTGGGGTCGCATAGTATCAGCTGATCTGGAGACTGAGATCAACCATGTGGGCAACTGGCCGACCAATCAATCGTTGCCTACACAATAAAAACTCTGAACACTGAGCCTCGGGCTAGTGGTACACCTTGCATGTTGTCACACATGGACGCCAAGAAGGAAATGCTGTCCTGCCCCCACGGGGAGGGGCAATGGAAGCTCCAAGTCTGCTGCCTTCCTAGACTCTACCCTACGCACTTCTTTCCTTGGCTGATTTAAATCTGTATCCTTTTGCTGCAATAAACCGTAAATAACTGTAAGTATAACAGCTTTCAGTGAGCTCTGAGTCCTTCCAGCAAATGATCAAACCTGAGGGTGGTTCCAGGAAACGCTGGCATTTGCAGTTGGTGTCAGAAGTGGGGCATTAAGAAGCGTTGTTTTTCCTCATACTGTAGTCCTTTCTGGAATCCTCTTTTCCTGCCTTACTCTTCCAAACTCTACTACATCTAAATACACCCTATTTTGAAGCTGACTTGGATACTCTTGTCCAAGAGGAAATGTGCTAGAATAGCTCTGAAAGTTTTCAAAGTAGCAGCAGCAGCGACAAAGCACAGGGAGGGGAAACTTGGCCTATGGGATATAAAAAATCTCATAATGCTATCGTTATTAGAAAAGTGTGGCATTGGCGCAAAGAAAGACAAATTGTTAATAGTGAGCCTAGAGTCGTGTGTAAGTGGGAATATAGGGATGGAGCCCCACACCCTCCTTGGTAAAGCCTCCATCAGAAGAAGCTGACCTTTCCATTTGGGACAATATCTAGCAAAACCTTCCTGCCTCAAGTCAGACCCCATTACTCATCTCAAAGCACCTTCCCCGAATTTCCCCTCAGCTGTAGGCACTGACAGGGCCTGGTAGGAGGAAACAGACCAATGGCACATAGACTAGATTCTAAAAAGACAAGGTTTGCTCCACTTCCACGGGCTACGCAGGGGTTCTGCCGTGAAGGGGGGCAGATCTGAGGACGATGATCAACGGCCGCTGACCACGTGCGGTGCAGAACTTCCCATGGGTTAGCTCCCTGAAACACACAACTGCTCTAGGGCACTGCTGCTATCGTTTCCCCATTTTTACAAAAGAGGAAACTGATGCCTAAGGAGGCTGGATCATTTGGGTGAGGAGAAGTCCACACTGTCTTACTGTGCTCTCTTGGGTGCTTCTCCAAGAACTCAAGAGTTTTGTGGCCACCAGCAGCTGTCAGGGTGGCAAGTCCAGGAAGAAGGCCGCAATGAAGCTACTGGCTGCCTGGATCCAACCTTAGGAAGTGGAGACCAGGAAGCCAGGCAGGCCCTACCACGAATGAGGCAGGCTGCCGCGTGGAATCGCCACTCGAACTTCCTGGCTGGTTCCGAGGGAGACGGGCAGCTACGGCTTTCACTGCTGAACTAACCCCCTCAAGATCAGAGAGACCCTGTGCAGTCCTCTCCTGTTGGCCATGTCCTAGATCCCGTCTGACAGCCGTGCAAATACCCTACTGGTACGCAGAGCGCTGCAGAAGACGCACACTGGCCAGCAACCTTCGCACGGCAGAGATTTACTCGGAGCTAAAACCAGGGTCTTGCTCAGCAACAGCTCATGTTACTGCCTCTGCTGGAAAAGGGGTGAGGCAGGAGGGAGAGGGCCGGGCAGGAATCCCCATTTACTCACGGCCAGCCTTGCAAGAGCAGCCTTTCCTCTTGGTGTTATTCTGAGTGAGGGCAAGGCCTGCGTGCCACTGACTTTTGGGGAGTCCTCTATAACCTTGGCTGTCCCACCTAGAAATCATACTTGTTTGCCCCAGCCCTCCTGACTTGTTCTTTAGAGCCATGAATCTATAAACACTAGAGAACTCCAGCAGCTGGGCTCTGCACAAGCCACCTTCATTGCCTGGGAAAAATTCTCCTGGCTAAGCATCGGGAAAAACAATACTGCAATCGTAAAGCCAGTCTCCCTTGTCTTTGGCCACCTGGTCTTTCCACAGGAAACGGAAGTGCTATTTCCAGGGTCTCCTCCAGAAAACAGGCCCCCCCTTGCCAGCAAGGAGGAGTCCCAGAGCTGATCAGTCTTGCGATAAGGTTTAGGATTTACAGGTGCTTGTGTGAACTAAACCACGGTTCGATTATGAGAATCTGCTGGGGTGCCTGTTCAAACCAGACATTCCTGTTTCTACCCTAAACCCACTGGATTACACACCCCGAGGAAGGCCCAGGAGTTACTGTTTAACCAAGTGTCCCGGGTGCCAGGTAGTGGTTATCATCAGGGAATGCAGAGACTTAGAGCAGTATTTACAAAAGTGTGGTCTCTGGACCACAGCATCACATGGGAACTTTTCAGAAATGAAAATTCTGGGGTTTTACTCCAGATGGACTGAATGAGAAATTCAGCCCAACAAGCTGTGTTTGCATAAGCTCTTGGGGTGACTCTGACACATGGCAAACCTGGCCACCAGTGCCCTCGGACAGGGTGAGGTTGAGCCAAACCCAACTTCTGGTACTTAACCTGTCTGTTGAGGAGACCAGCACAGGACTCCCCGGCCCCTCCCCTCCTAGTGAGGGAGGCCCGGGCTGTGCTGAGAGCTGCAAGGTAACTGGCACTGACTGGCGCTCACCAGGTGCCAGGCACTGTGTCGCTTCCTTTATTTGATTTAATCCTCACAACAGACCTATGAGGTGCAGTGCCCTTTGTGGGTGAGGAAACTGAGGCACAGAGATTAGTAACTTGCCTACAGCTAGCAGGTGGTAGAGCTGGGCTTCGAACCCAGATCTGCTGACTCCAAAGTCGTGTTCTGAAACCCTATGACACTGCCTCTCGCAGCAGATACCTAAGTTAAGAGTTCTCTAAACTCGTGGAAAGTGAGTTCCTGGGCTGGACAGGTTAATTCCTTAAAACTATGTCATTTCTCATCTTCAAGTCTAACATCTCAGCAAGGAAGGACTGAGGGCTGGAAATGCACCTACCTCCTTGTTTGGTGCTATAGGGAAGATGGAAAAAGTACACAACACACTTCCCGCACAGTGTGGCCTCCCAGGGAAATAGGACAAAATCTGCGGCTCCTTCCTCTGGGCTTCACTTTGAGAGACGGTTTCATTCTACGTAGCATCTAACGCTAGTTTTGGCCTTCGTTCCCCCTTGAATTTCAGTACACGGGGCATTTATTGCACTGTATAGACGCTGACTGATTTTATGTTTCTAGGTGGCCCTTCCTGTCACAACCTGCTATAAATGCCAGGATTTGGTCTTCTTGGAATGCCCTTGCTACATTATATGAACTTGCTGTCCCATTGCCTTTCACAGTTTATAAATCAGGAAACGTCATGACTGTGGGAAAGTGGTGCTGCCCCACATTCAGCCCGATGTCAGGCCATCAGCTCTGCTTTTATGACGGGTCTATAAATGTGCTTTGTCACACAGGACTGCCTATCCCCACTGCGGGGCCAGTGCAGAGCGAGCGTGGGCTCCCCTCATCTGGGCGCAGCAGGGAGGGGTGCGTCCCCATGGTGCTCTGGATGGAGATGCAGCTATGGGACATGAGTGTCCAATTAGTGATGGCTTTGGAACTGCAGGTCCAAGGGGGAGGCTGCCCCCGGAATGCAGAGGAGCCGTCCAGCCGGTGTCTGACGCCAGGACTGAGGTGGTGGGTGCCCCTGAAAGTAGCTCTGCCTGGCTAACACCCTCCGAAAAGCACTCTTGAACCTTAACAACAACGCACTGCTTCCTTCACCCCACACACTTCTCCATCACAGCTGCATACAAGTGCCCGGTGTGTGATTCAAACGCTCTCAAACCCTGCCTGGAGCCTCCGCCGTCCAGGCAGCTGAAGGGCACCCACCCTGAAGCCCTACAGTGACCTTGCCCCTCCTCTCTACCGTCGATGGCCTCGGCACCCTCTGTAGTCTTCTGTTGAGCACTCTGAACCCTTTTGCACTGATACTGGAAGCAAAACAACAGATACAGGGAGTCCTGGGGAAGGGGTAGTGGACATGTCCCCAGAGGCGTTACCCAGCTAGACACAATTAAAACACTGGGATGGCTAAGCATGAACCCATTTGCTGCTGTATGTGGCCCCTGGGACACAGTTTTCTGCCCCCCTTCACCTGGAGAGGCCCTCTGGCTGGCCCCAGACCTCACAGCGAGCTGGTGGCCGAGTCGGCCCTGACCCCCAGCCGTGCCCTTCCCGAGCCGCCTGCCCCGCACGGCACAGCACACCGCTTTGGGTTGCTCTCCTCTCCCGTGGACGTTTTGTCCCCCACTGAATCTGTGAACTCCGACTTGAGGGCAGAAGCTGCGCCGTATTTTTCCTGTTCTCTTCTCAGTGACTAACACGGCAGGTGCTCGGCGAGAGCGCGCTCAGTCTCTGAGGTGGTCAAGTGCACGCGATCCTCGCTGGCTGGCGAGAGGGGGACCTAAGACCTCAAAGGGGTGCGGGGGGAGGGGCCACGGGCAGCAGGGGAGACGAGGCGTCTCGGGCTCAGACCCAGAGCCTGAGCGGGAATCTCAGCTCCAGTCCCAGGCACTTCGGTCCTGGCCTTACTCACCATCAGGTCCTCACCTACGAGGTGACAGACACGTGCCCTCGCCCACTTTACAGGACTCCTGTGAGGATGACCAAATGCGGTGACGGATACGGAAGCCCTGTTCACGCGGCCAGCGCTGCGAGACGTAAGCTAAGAGCACTTCCACGTGCCAAGTACTGTTCTCAACACTGCGGTTAGACACACCCGCTCATGTAACCCTCGCCCCAGTTCCCTGAGGAAGCCACTAGTGTTACCCCACTTCACAGGCAGAGGTCACTTAACTTGCCTGGGGTCACACAGCAGCTAAGGGGCCAGGTAAAGACTCGAATCCGGGCTCGGAACCTGGCTCAGTCCACAGTCTGGCTCAGATTCCACGCGGCTGAGCCGGCGCTGTGCCGCCTTCCCACACTGAGGCAGTCTCTCATGAGGACACCGCCCTGGGGGCCTTGGGCCCGGCTGACCTGCTGGCGACGTCCTCCTCGGTGCCCTTGTCCAGCACGCTGCTCAGGTTGTGCTCCGCCTGCGTCTCCTCGGGCACCTCCTCCAGCTCCTCGGCCTGCTTCACCGACAGGCGGTAGTTCTCCAGCTCGATCCTCTCAGGGGTGCCCCGCAGCCTCTTGGCGATGCTGGGCTCCTCCAGGCCATTCACACTCGAACCTGCAGGACGAGCAAAGATGCAACGTTCTGATGACGAGCGATGGACACGGAGTACAAGGACAACGGAGGGCGTGTGGCGGGGAGGAGGGACCACCGGAGGCAACGTCTTAGCATCCAAGGCTGCACTCAGGTCAGTGGGGTGAGCCGGCCCTCTCATGAAGTCAGAAGGGGCAGACTGAAAGTCAAAAAGGTCACGGATCTGCTAGAGGCCAGGAAAGGAACTTCGCTAGGCAGGAGAAACAAAAAGACTCCGTGTCCACATCTGCCCTACAGACGAGGCGAGTTCATTCTCTTTTATCGCCCTGAACCCTGGCTGAGTCGAGGGAAGGGACAACCTGCCCAGTGACGGTGACCAGTAAGGGACAGAGGGACCTGGGCTAGACCCTGAGGAAGCTCTTCTCACTGCCGAGGAACTAAGTGCCCAAGCGGTTTTCACGAAGGTGAGTCCTCCCAGCAGCCCCACCCTGAAGACCCAGTGGGGCTTGTGCGCTGGGTCTGGCTGGCCCCACTGGGGTGTCCCGGCTGGCTGCTTGGTGGACTACTTCACGCTGTGGATCTGTCCCCTCACGGTCAGATCGACGGTGGATGTTCTGTTTAACAAGAACCCTGCGCGGGCGCTGCTGCGCCCCTCCCTGGGCATCGCGGCTCAGTGGGGGAAGAGTCAGGCTGGACCGCTTGGCAAGGGTGCTGCCACCCTTCTCTTCAATGACAGGCACACTGCCCCTGTACGTAATCAGCCACCTGTGGGGCAATGCTCAGAGACCACGCGTGCACCCACCCAGTGCTCTTTTCTCCCATGGCTGCGGCATCATCCGTGGCCTTGGCCGAGTCAGGTCATACGTGGGGGCCACAAAACGGTGATCTAAAAAATTCTGTCATTCCCACTCCACCATCACTCTTGTAAAGAAGCACTTTGCCCTCTCTGCCAGAGACAAAGCCTATGGGGGAAAAAAAGAAGCACTTTCCCATTTTTCTTTATATTTTCAAGCACCACCATAGACTCATGGATGTTTTCAAAACTTAAACACTGTACGTGACTATTGTATCTCTTTAGTCTCCCTTAATCTAGAAAAGTTCCCCCCTCTCTCTTATCATCACTCTCTCTTGATGTTCACTATCGTCCCAGTTTTGGCCAGAGGAGGCCACCACTTGTTCTGGGCGTGCTGGCTGTGACGTGGCGCAGCACACGGGCACACGCAGCCAGGCAAGCCCAGGTCAGATGCTCGGCTCGAGAGTGACTGGCTGAAGGACCTTAGAAAAATTTCTTAATGACTGAGAGCGCATTTCCCGATCTGTAAATGAAGACAACATCCCCTTCGGGGGTCATGAGGCACGATGAACGAAACTGTGCACGTAAACACAGGAGGGGTGTGTGCACGCCCACCCTGTGCCCACACGCGCCAGTCACCTTCCTCTTCTACCCAAGCGTGGCACACAGGGAGTGCAAATAGGAGCTAAGCAACGGATCTGACTGGCGTTCACCAACACTTTCGGCACGATTGGTGTGTATTCCTGCACGGGCACGCTGTATGCATTCGCCCTCGACTGCAAACTGTAGTTACGTGACAAAGAGGAGACAGGGAGCAGCAGCCTCAAGGGTGCAGTGTCATGCAGTGGCAGTCTGTGTTACTGGCGCTTCAAGGAGGTACAGGCTTCGTGCAGCAGAGAAGAGGCAGAAACACGGCAGGGAGCAGGGCACGGCGGCCTGGCGGCCTGGCTGGGTGGGTCACTGATTCCTGTGACACTCTAGGCTCTAAGACACGGCACTTGAGTTTTGGGGGACAGGTGATCTATCAGGTGAAGCTTGACTGAAGTAAAGGAGTGGGAATGTTGATTTGGCAATTTTTGTGGCATGACAGGTTGTACAGAAAGTATTTTCTGAAGGCCTGGCACTTCTGTCGTGTACAATGTTTTGCACATCTTTGTAATGGCATTAGAAGAGCTTCTGATGAATCCAGGTAGTCACGGGATAAAGTCTTAGTGCATCTGCCAGAATTACCAGGACCTTCCACCAAATAGCACTTCAGATTTACTAGAGAATCTTTACTGAAAAGCAAGATCCAGTGGCATGTTCATTCATAAATTCAGGTCAACGTGTAATGATAGGGTCTGAACACGAATCCTTGGGTTTACCTGTGCCCTGGTACACACACCCGCCCATCCTAGTCTTTGCACCCTTGGGCGTGTCACTCTAAACATCCCTGCACCATTCTTCAGTACTGAACTCAGGACGCCACAAGTGCAAGCTATGGTGCTAGACTAGGGTGCACGGAAGATTAGGAAACACGTGGACTGCAAGTAATGGCAGGAAGAGGCAGAGAGCAAAGCAGGTGGACCCGGCTCCACCTCTCCAGACCGCCCTCCAGATGCTGGGTGTGCACCAGCTCCAATGGTGCTAGTTCATCGCTTCCCAACAGCAGTCTTCCCGTCCTCTCAAAACCCACAGTCCTGACATAATGAAGATGGGAAGCTGAGGATACCCTGACGACAGGGCCATCTGATTCGTTCCTTCTCACCATGCATTTTTGACAAGTGCCCTTACATAGAAAGCAGATAAGAAAGGGAAATAAATGTGAAGAAACTATCCAATATAAGTCTTCTGGCAGCTCCATAAATATGCAATAAAAACTGGTATTTCTTTTAGATAGGAGAAGAAAAATAGAATAAGAACTGTCACTTCAAGGAAAACAAAAAACTAACATTCATCCACTCAGATCCAAGCAATTTCAAGGTAGAGCAAACAAACACACTCATGTAGAAAAACACTCAAGAAGTGATGTCTGGGCCAGGC